ACCTCCGGCTTTACGTCCTATCCGAGAAGACGAAGCAATGTGAGTGAAGCGTCTTGCTTAAGGACACAACGTCAAGCCCCGGCCAGGACTTGAACCCGGGCCATTTGACCCAGAGTCCAGCGCACTGACCACTGGACTACTCACGAGAATCCTGAATGGTAAAGTAAAACGGAAAACAATTCTTTCATAGATAAACAGTTTCCACCACCTTATCTAATACCGCAACTTCATTTTAAGTCCTAGCAGAATCCTGATTTACACTGCCAAGCTTCTGTAATAAAAAAGGTCATTGAAATCCTTGTAAGCTAGCAGAACATTTACCTGAACACATTAAAGTCTTGGGAGGTTAAATTAAAGTTTTTCATTCTTTTCCTTTCCACTGCTTTTTTTTTTTTTGTTATCTCTTCTTTTGATATATTTTTCTTGAAGCTGTAACCGTGAGTTAGTTTTCCGGGTCGTTCATGAGTTTAATAATACTGGCTGAAAATCATTAACTTTGTGTTGGGCAATTTTCAGTTCCTGTGCGAATTTCAAATGAATTATAACATTATTATTTCAATTTTATAGAATACTATTAGGGAATCATTTAAGAGTATTCAATTTTTGTTAAAAAGGCTAATTAAAAGACTTTTAATCACCTGGGTTTTTTTAACCTTAAGGGAAAAATGCCCGAAGCTGTTATTTCCTATTCTGGAAGATAATGGTTTCATGACGGCATATCACCTGTTATCACATCTTGAGGGGTTTTCCCATATTCGTGCTGTTACGCTTCGACATGCAAAACAAATAAAGACAAAAGAAGTTCCTGCTCTCGTGTAAATCTGAATAGCTGATTTGCAATTATTTGTATGCCAGAAACTTTTATGCAATATACATGTTTTTTTCCATCAAATAGCTTCATTGAACATTAGTTCACACGTTTCAGTCAAAATTTTTTGGAAGCAACTTTTGTCATATTATATTACCTTGTGATAAGATATGTTCAATACATTAACTACAAATCATATGTGTTTTCATATAGAGTCCTTAAAGATTGACTTTTTCAGTAATGAAAAAATATATATAATTATCATGTATTGCAACTGTAGATATCGTTGCTTTCCGATGACATTAAACAGCAATATCGTACGGGGATACTTCTTTACAAGAAGATTCGAAAATTCGAAAACAAAGAGGTGAATACCGATTTCTATTTTTGGTGAACACACCACACGTCACGACACTTTTGCATATTCAGCAAATATTGTTGATTTACATTCACTTTTCTGGCGTATACCTTGAGACATGCGAAACGGATTCTTTGAGATTTCTTTGAAACAGTCCATGAAACAAGATAGAATATTTAACCTTTTTCGTCGAAATTTTCGCTATGTTAATGGAATTATTTTAACATTGATCTATACAAAAGTATGGTACAGGGGATTCCCCGACTAGTCACGCATTACGTCACATCCAGCTATTTAAGTCCGTGTAACTTTCACTCATCATTTAGACTTAATGCACCATAGTTTAGACGTTAGAGGTAGCGTTTAAGTGCTCCAGTCTTGATTTATTTCCTTGGAAAGGCTTCAGCGGCTATTGCAGAGCAACAGATTCTTTACAGGAATACTGAAGAAGCATTGAAAATTTCGACACTGCTATAGGTAAGACAGAAAGCATTGAGATATGCATTGTCTTAGATAAAAGCCCCTCTTTGTGTGCGGGCTCGGTACGTAGTCCATGCTCCGACTCGCTCTGTGATATATATATGCACGGCCCGAAGCTTGCTTCTTTGATTATTTTTCCATAACAATTTATGTCTATTTACATATAGCACTTTATTGCATGGCTATAATTGGTTCCGATAAACCGTTAAGTCCGTAGCTTTTCCTCTATGAACAACAAATGTGCATGAGTAAGGTGAAATGAAAATACACGTAAATAAACCAGCCTTTTCCAGTGAGTACTGGATGGGCACGATCTTATATTTGGAGAAAAGCGAAAGAAACTGTGTCTATGAACTGGTAAATATGCAATTTACTCAGATACTTCAGGAACGTGGTTTTCACTTTCATGAAA